TCATGGGGAGCTTGTTTTGGCTTCATGACATTTTCCTCATGTCCCTCAGAATATACCATCCCACACCTTATACGTACCGTTGCCTATGATGCCTTGTAGTACATTTATAATCATAGATATTGCACAGGATAACTCTAGTATTAGTTTGAATAGAAGGATTTCTTTCCATCCTATTCAAGTTCAGTGTGATAAAAATACAAAACCTGAGGATACTTCTCATGGTGTAGTAAGTAATTTTTATAATGATTTGAAGGCTGCTATTGCAACCTTAAGTCTTCCTTTACAACCTAGAGAATCTGATGTCGCATTCTCTCGACGTCAAGATGCTTGTGTATGCCTAGCTTCAGAAGACTCATCTGTTTAAAATACAGTACCTTCCTAGTTACAAAATGCTAGGAGGAGTAGTGGGAGTAAACGATTATGGGACGATTATGAAAACAATTATGAGGTCCATAATCATGGGAATAATCCTAATTGACTATAATCATATAAGCGACTCTGGAGGTGCTTATATGATTATAGCACCGATTATGAACGGCGATTATGGATCCTCTCCTTTACATAATTCTTGGGTCAATGTAATTGTTACCCATAATCGGTACACGGTCAGAGTCAGAGCAATTATGATGACAATTACAACTCATAATCAGACTCATAATCGACCTCATAATCATTGATAATCGATCACTCTGACTCCCACTAATCTACATGATTCTTTAATTCTGACAGGGGGAGAGCTCTGAAAATCAATCCAACACACAGCCTTCCAACTGAAAAGCCTGCTTTATATTAAGCATGACCCATCCATCTCGAGGTCAGGTAAATGCAGCTGACTCAAGTTTCCTGAGTCGTGTTGCCACAAATTCAGGGTCTAGTCCCCACCACCCACATTCAGCTTCGTGGTCATCCTCCAATAGCATGCCTCACCGTTCGCTTTCTGCTGTTCCATTTCAGGACTTGCAACATCAGTCTGAAAATCTGATATTTAATGACAAGGAAATATTTGAATATCATCCTGTTTCCCAGTGAGGCTGATGTCATGCTTGCCATTTTCCAGTGTTTCCAGTGTCTCATAGCTTGGAGCCTTCTTACGCCTCAACGTGGACTCAATTTTCCTGTCCAACAGACACCTCTGCAAAGTATTCCATGACCCCACAAGTTCTGAGGGAACTTGGATATTATTGAATTTGACAATTGGCTCTTCTCAGTCATTCGCTTGATAAAGATTGCGAATATCTGTGGCCCTGTCTACCTCACGGATGACTCAGGCATTTCTCAAGTCTCAGATACTGATGTTCAATGTACTAACACACTCACAACATTTTTAGCTGGTGATGCGTGAACTTGGTACAAGAATTTTGTAGAAGATTCTAACGGAAATGTTTACGATGGGTTCCTGACCTTTATGCAAGTCATAAATGGTCTCTTCTGATAATTCATGAATGAATCTTCACTTTATGACATCATGCAACACTTCAAGAGTTTTAACTATGTGTCAAATGGCAGTGTACACCAATTATTTGCTGATCTTACTTGATCATTAACTGGGCCCCAGGTAAGCCAGAGATGACCAATCAACTGGCACGTGATGAAGTCACGTCTGTGTTTTTTTTTTTTCCTTTCATTTACCTTCTTTGACACGTTCCTTGGCCACTGAACATAACATGTCCCTTGCAACATTGTCTACAGCCTCAATAAGAGGTTAATACACCAACAGCTCAATAGTGGAGCTCTCAGTACCTGTAATAACACTTGAGGATGTAAGGGACTTTGTACTCTTGCTGATCAGTGAAAGGAAGTCACGTAATCCTCCTTCTGTTGTGGTATACATCAAGATATAATGGGCTTGAGTGCATCAGAGTTTCCATTATTTGTCCATAAGAATTTTGTATGCATAATGGGGTATATTGAGAATGAATAAAAGATGGATGCACTGTCATAAGCAATTCGAGGATTGGTCATAACCCCTCTTATGTGGTTCCATGAGCGTGACAACTACAAGACTAACTTTGATGCTTATCATGATTTTCTTCTGCCCCATCAGTGTCCTGGCACGAAATTCGACCTTGGGAAAGACAGGTTCATTGAGAGAAAAGGATGTCCATAAGTTATCCTACATGAACGAAGGAGTGGATGTGTTCACAGATGTGACGCTGGCTGCAGCCATGCAGCAGGAGTCTCCCTTACTGGACGGACCACTGACAAATGGAGTGGTGGTAGCAGCCAGAGTTGGTGTTGGGTGTGAGCTTCATTGGAATCAGTCATGAAGAATATGAAGAGGAATAGGGAGCATACCATTTGATCAGTGAAAAGCATGACCAAAAACCCATCCATACATCCATTAGCATCTCCAACAGAGCTCTGAACACCATCTTTAATGACAGCAATCTCTGCGGCCAGTCTAACAATGGCAGGAGGCTCATGTGCAGCCAGAGTATTAGTGACATAGATTTGCAAGCAGTTAATCTTGCAAAATGCAGGGAGGATGTTGGCAGCCATATTAGCAGCACAGTGGAGATTTTGATCGAGGTGCTTTGGTGGTCTCATGAACATCGGGGGGGATAAGCATGCCATAAACTTTAGCACAAGTCGCAATCTCATTGACGGGAGGAGGTACATCCTTGTTCTTTCCTTTTGAATTAGTTGCAGTATGACATGAGGACATTCAGAGAGGGCAGTCTGTTAGTATCCGTAATTCTGCCAAGATTCTGCTAGAGTTGAGATGCTGCCGACATGCTGGACCCATGTTCCTGTGTTCCGTCATGAGCACATGACAATTCCTTTCAACCCAATATGACGTGTACTGTGACCATTCTTGACTGTTTACCCTGGCATGTTAATGAAAGGTATACTATTTCACAAAATCTGTAAATTTTTTTGCAATTAATTACTCACCAGACATGTTCAACCCCTATGCCACTGAAGGAGGGGATGTATTTGACTCCACAGAAAGAGAGAAAACCACCCGAAAAACCAGCCAACTTAGTATGTCCCTCCGTTACTTGCTCATACAAACCACAACCCACTTTCATAAGATAGTTGGAAGACTATATATGAGGCAACTTCCTGGAAACTATTCAACTGGGAACCGAAAGTGCAGTGGGTTGCGCAGGTGCACACTGATGATGGAACCATCAAACCATTGTCCAAACAAGAGGCTGGGGAAAAGGCATACCAGCAAAAGTACACTGCTCTGGGAAATGTGTGGGTTAGTGCGCAGGTTGATCTCAACACAGCTGAGGTAAATTAGACACTTTTGGCCTCAGCATCCAAAAACTACTGACTTGCATGTGATAGATTCCATCAGAGAGATGAGACTGGTCTCCATGCAGAGGGTGCCACGATGCGTACGCATCATTTTGCTGTGTCCAAATGCTAGAATTGACCATGACATAGGAACATACCAGTGCTAGTCTCACCACATTCTTGTCCAATCCAGAGGTGAAACAACTTCTGGACATGCTAGCTCCCACATTAACATGCCTTCACGAGAAGGACATTCATTGAGAAGGTGGGTGTAGGGGGGAAGCGATTCACAGAAGGACATCGGAAAGTCTCAATTTTGTGTATATAGTTCTATGAGTGCAAATCACGCAAGGCTCCTGTCAGGATTCAAAGGACCCTCAACTGTGTGTTCAATTCGATGAGTACTTCTCTTCTCTTTTCATTATAACATGATTCTATGCCTTCAAAAATCTTCTGGATAGACTCAAAAGGACTTGATCATTCAACTTGTCATATTGAAGTGAATATCAGACTATTTTTCGGGGTTTTCTATGTATATTAGGATTACAGAAAGTCAATAAATGAAATATTAATCCTTGTCAGGCAAAGAGATGACTGAAATCGTGTCGATATGAAGAAGTAAGTGAACAGGTCAAAATCTCATGTGGCGCCATTATGTAATAAAATTGAACTGCTACCAAAGGGGTACATAAACAACAGACTACATACAGACCATCCCTCCCTCCGATCAATAGGTCTCTGTCTATGAGAGACTAGGTTGTTGCACCTTGCCATAGATGGATGAGTGGCTATCTGGTATGGCCGGATTCGCATCAGTTTCATAGTTGCTCATTTGACTCGTTAGCTCCACCGTCCATGAATTCAACTTGACATCAGTAATAGCTTCTAGTTACTGGTTGTGCTTACAACCTAACACAGCAGTAACTTCACCTTCTGCTGCCATGTCAAGACAAATGATGGCCTGGAGACAAAGCTATTGCACATTCTATGAACAATATATTGTTCCATCCAGTCCATGGGATGCTTGCTGCCTGCGGTAATTTGCTACTTGTTATCATTTTGAATGCCCTGTATTAAAGTCCTCAGGATCTGATAGAACTATTCAGTTCTGGGATAAGGATTGCTGAAAGGCTTTGAGGAATTGCATTGGGTCTTTTGAATTCGTACCCACATACCTTAACCCAGTTTCTTGTTTAGCACTCCAGATCTGTGAAGGTCCAATCTCATGTTGCAATTTTAACCTTGATGGCACGATATTAGTGAATGCTGTCAATCGTCAGCTGTCAGATGGTGCTCCAGCAAAGTATGAGGTCAAACTACATAAGTGTAAGGACGTGGAGGTTCTTCCGCAGTTGATGTGAGCAAGGTGCAAGGAGGGGTATACCAGCTACTGGACTTGAAAGTGTCGTACATAGCCTATAAGGAGCACCATCTTCAAGGAAAGGGGCAATCCTAAATCGGGGGTTTTGCAATCATGGCATATCTAGCCATCTGCCTTTCCTAGAGCAAGCTAGAGCGATAAGAGTAGAGCAGTTACACTACCTACATTGTGAACTCCAGCTATTTTTTCTTTAATGGATAACCTTATTCTAATCAACACAATGCGAGAATTGGTCTCTCACCAGATGAGGTACCTGCATTTTTCATTTGTGGCACTGTACTTTGACCAAGGAGCTTGATAGTGAGAAGGCTTTACTTCATTACATAACATTGCGCATTACAAATATAAATATGTATGACAAAATCCCACAAACTTAGGTTTCCATTACTTCATCATCAGTCCCTTGGCTGCTAGCACTGCTGCCTTCCATGGTTTCTGGACTGGGCTTTGTGGACACTGAACTCGTTGAAGATGTATGATCATTTGCCAGGTGACCAATGTATGCAGGAGATAGATTGGGGTCATTCAATTTGAGCAAACCCACTTCAACCAAGCGCTGAAGAAGAGGATACTTGCATACCATCTCCTTCAATACAGGAATGGAATCTCCTGGAGTTCCATCCTGTCAGATCGAGAGCAGGCTACTCATCAAGTTGTTAATGAGCACCTTCATGTTGCTGACTTCGAAAGCAACAATTTGAGACAGGCCAGATACTAAGGACTGACAGTGTTCAATCTGTGCTACCTGATGAGTGATGGCTGAGAGATGTGTGAATTTGTGTCAAGATCAGAAAAGGCGATAATTACTCACCTTCATTACTGCTATGGGATGCTTGAAAGACAGTATTGACCAACTGCCTTTGGTCGCCAGGGGAGCAGGCAAGCGATTTGCAGCCTCTATGACCATCGTGGCAGCACATGCAAGTGCCTGAAGTAAATTCATCATGGTCACAGGACACCCCATGACCAGCCATGAAGCAAGAATAACACATGGCCCGCTGCTGAAAGAGATGTAAGCTGACACGTCATAAAATTCCACTAGGTGAAGTTACATACAGGAGGTCCTAAATCCAATACACGGGAAAGCAAGACCGGGTCGAAAGAGAAAGTGCTGGCAGATGATGCATCATTTGTCTCCGAAGGTGGGAGTGGGATTTGATGCAGATTTGATGCCTCAAGACAAGCAACTTTCAAGACATTTTCAGGTTCAGTAAATGACTGAAATGAAGTGTAAGAGATGGAAAGCTGCCTAGAAGCAAGAGATGACTTACATCTCTTCAAAGGGTTTGCTATCGACGACCTGATTTAACACATGCTCTCCAGCATTTGGACCTTAAATTGTCCGTATCTCTTTGGCTTCTGTGAGGCTTTAGCCTTGGGATCAGTTTTGGTTTGTCCAGCTACAGCAAGCAGCTTCAATTTCTTCTCCTTGAGACCTTTTTTGGCCTTCAATTCTGTGGCAGCTCTAGTCTGTTTGGCTTTTTCGTGAAGCTTTATGGCTTGCTCGTGACTCTTAAGCGCATCTCTGTATGCTTTATCACTCTCGATCCACTCCATCTTGTATTTGAGGTACTGTGCCTCGCGATTTTTGTAGCGATGTGTCACAGAGAACTGTTCAGTTTCATCAATGGCCTGAACAAAGAGTAGTGCATAAGTTAGGCAACAAAATGCAAGAAAAGGAAACTAGCCTTGTCTGGAGGTAACAAATCATACTCCTCGGCTGTAGGGGCCCAAATGCTCCACTCCTTCATCTTATGGTGACAGGGAGGGGTTTGACAAGCAAATGAATAACAAGTTTGGCACAATAGTATGCCTATGCGATCGCTTTTCTGATTGTTCTTCTTCAACTCTTCTACATAGGCCACCTGCAAAGCAATACTCAATTAGTATGAACACGTAAGAAGATGTGTGGCCATCTCACCAGCAGTGGATGAACTTGCTCTACAACAGACAAAATCTCTGAAGTAGTGGAACAACCACTGTCAGCGAGTAGAAGAGGGCAGATGATCTCTGAGATTTCATGCGGGTACTTGAAAGGGTTGCCGAATTGTTCTTCACTTTCCAATAGCGTGGGTGGACAAGGTTCGGGAGGGATTGGTGGCAGGTCAACCATGTTTGTTGAACTTGTGGATGCTTGTTCCATTTCCCATAGGACACAAAAGTTACAGCAGCAAAACAGGGTGGGAAGTTAAATGCTGAGGGGTGGAGAGCCACAGTTGAGTACAAGCAGGGGGGAGTGAACAAGGAAGGGTGAAAACTACAGCATATATTTGCCAAAAAAACTGACCAGACATGTTCTCCTCCTGGAAAGGAAAAGAACCCAGAAGACTTTCCCAGGGGATCTGGGAACGAGTCGCTGCAATGATGTAATTCAAACTTCAAAGCCTTGACGTCTGGTGTCTCTAGCTGTGACATCAGAGGCAGGTGCAGGGTGCTTGATTGGCCATCTCCACTGATACAGCTCAGGTAAATAGAATTAAACTACTCCTACCAACCTCGATGGCTCATTGTGAGAGGATCCATAGGATGGTGTTGAGCATGGTCCGGTCCCTCTGCGACCACATGTGTTCTAGGCCCCAGCTGAAAAAGGTTCCCATGATTCCATCTTGGAAATCAGATTTTTGGCAGGAAGAAAGTTTGTTACCTTATGGAAACGGTATAAGGAAAAATTTTCAGTGCCTTCCTCTGTGTAGAAAATCAGGCATGATCGGAGTGAGGGCAGGTTTCGGAAGCTTCACCGTAGTGTCTTGCTATCCATTCAGTTTTGCACTATAGCATCCAATTGCCTAGGTTTGGTACTATAGCAGTTATTAGTGGTACATCTTATTTTTATCTAACTGTAGTATGGATGTCGTTATGTTTCTGTTCAGGAGCACCAATGACTAATAAAACCTCCTTCCTTCCTTCCTAGCAAATCCCACAACACAGTTCCACTAGTACCAGTACAGAGGATATGTTTGAGTTGACGATCTACTTAGAAGTGGCCTAAGGGAGGTTCAATTGACATGCAGGACACATATCATGATGCAAAGACAAAGTCCATGTCATCATTATCATCATCATTTTGCTCATTGAATGATCACCAATCGGAAGCTGTTCAGGATTTCTCCTATCCAACCATCATCAATTTCTGGATTTCCTTCATTGATCTTTCACCTGCACATGTTCTCATGATATGTACATGAAGCTTAGTTGGTATCTTACTGGAAGAGTGCATATTGGTAGCGCGATGGTTTAGAGTCTTTTTAATCTCGCTGGAAAGTTCTGAGAATGTTTTGTTTGCCATCCCTCCTCTGGATCACATTATGCCTCCATGCATTCATGCTTATGGCATTAATACACACCATACAATGACTGCCATCCATTGAGGCACCCCTACTACTACTACTACTACTTTGCTCATGTATTTTCTGAACCATCAGGAGGATGTCTTTTACTATGTTATCCGCTTTCTGACCTTAAACACAGGTCATGTTCAATCATAGGCAATCAAAAACCAGTTTTGAGGAAGGAAGGAAGTCTGATTAGTCATCAGTGCTCCTTAAAAGAAACATAAGGAAGGCAAATGAGTACAGAATACTACAAAACTAGCCACTTAAATATCTTTCTGTATCTTCTAGTACTTTCTTTCTCTTATAGTAAACTTTTACTCAGCAAGACTCGGACTAATGTGCCAGCTTGCACAGCCACAGGGACATCAATATTCTACACTCCCTCATGGCATCAGCAATGGCAAGGTGAAATATCAGAACAAAGGCACTGATTTCCATAAGGAAAACATGTTGTGCATGAAGCTAGCTGTATGAGATGCCTGCATTGGACAATGCCAAGGCAGAGACAAAGTATGCACCTATGAATATAGGGGCAAACAAGGGAAAGGTAGTGTGACATGTGGAAGCTTTGTGACAGCTCTACATGGTAGCAGTAGCCTTGCCAGGAAATTGGCACTATAGCAAGAAGCTATGGAGCACCAGCATGCATTGACACTTGGAGCAGACAGCAAAGAAATGTTGCAGCCCCTATTTATACTAGGACATCGCCTGCATAGCTCGCGCAATATGTGCACTGCCCATCAGATTAAGGTCCTCCTGAAGTATGTGCAGCATCGCCAGACACACTCGGAGGCCATTCGCATGAGAGGAATCAGAAACCGCACCCACGAGAATTGATGATGGTGCAAGGAATTGCATCAATGAGTGGCTATAAATACAACAAAACAAAACATAACAATCACTAGTAATCTTGAGAAGGTAATCGTAACTGCTTCTTCAAATTTAAGTTCAATGCCTTAGATTCCTTGGTCTCGTCGGCAATGGTCATCTTCGAATTGTGCAAGATCAGCTTTTTGTCAGTCACATCATCTGGGAGGTAGGGAGCTCTGGGAACAACAACAGCAACAGTCCAATCAAGATCTGAGTTATCGTTGTGAGAGTGCTTTTCAAATTTGATGCTCCTGACCCACTTCCCACAATGCTCTCCCAAAATTACCAAAAACATGTCATAGTGCCGGGTTTTAGGGTGGATTGCCAGCACTCTTGAGGGATCCAGGGCTTCTTCTAGTGGTGTATCATTCCTGACACAAACTATCTTCCCTTGGTAGTTGTGTTTCACCAAGACCATGATTTTGCAACCATTGTACTGCACATGGAAGTTGGCACCAGGGAGGTGAGGATCAAGGCACCAGTGCGACGGTGGGTCTGGAGATGAGGGATTCCACGCTGGAGAGAGGCATTGTTCCAAGGGATCTGGTAGAGGAGTAGCGTTGCCTGGCTCTTCTTCACGTTGTGGAAGAACGTGTCTGCCCTTCATTTCCAGCACGTTGGTTTCCAGTATCAAATTATGAAACAAGTGATGGTCATTTTGCAATGGTTGTGCTTCATTGAGGGGTAGCCATGATTCCTCCTCAATGATATCAAGGTATGAGAACCATAGAGAAAGGAAGGGGGCATTTGGATTGTAGTGTGTGAGCTGTACAAGCACTTGTAAGACTGGCACATCAGTATTAGGATCCATTATGCAGTTTACATCAACCACATATCCCATCTTTGTATGCCATATATGGCCTGCCTTTGTTACCTGGACCATAGTCCCCTTCCATGGCATGGAGTGTGTTGATTCCACATCCAGAGAGGTTGTAGCTGAGAGGGCACACAAGTTGTGTGGAACAGGGATCGCAATGACAGCATTGGGGTGAACACCACATACCTGAAAATGCCATGAGATGGAGATGAAGTTCTATATATGTGACATACCTCAACTTGGTGATTTGTACACCCACGAGTGGAAATTAAATGTAACATATCATCTTCAACAGCACTAATCCATCTGGACCATCTATCCACCAATGCTCCCTCTGAGATCTCGACATACTGCCCTATGTTAAATTCCTTTCGATAGTCGGCCCATCTAATGGGGAGAAGTCCTTCAACAAATTCTACCTCTAAGTTTTGTTTGCCAATGCTACGGATGATCCCTGATTGGCCTCTGCTGGTGTCTGTGATGGAGATAGCATGAAGCAGCACCTGTTGATTGCGACAGATAACACCAGGTATATCAGCCAGCTCTTCAAATTGGCTGACATATCGGCCTCTAGCCACACTTGTTTCTCCATATGTGGCATAATGAAGGGGGCCTTGATGCCCTGTCCTGGTCAAATGCAGCACCCAATGTGGAACATGACAAATTCCTCCCAGCCCAGCTTGGAGATCAATCAGAGATGAACAAAGAAGTTCAACTTTTCTACTCACGATGCACGATAGGACCTAAAGTTCAGGGGCAGCGTCCAGAAGACCAAGGTCAAATCCTTTGCTACCATTCGGCAGGCTCTCAGGGGTGCTTGCACAAGCTCTTGCCCTCTCCAAGAGGCTGCCCCATCTATCTTCCTCCACAAATGGAGCGGATAAGTTGGCAATGAGGTCCACATCCGGTGAATCGGTTGTTTTGTCCCAATCCTCCTCTTCAACAATAAAGTTATCTTCGCCTTCATATTCTGAGTCAGAGGACTGGTCATCTCCATCATGAGCTACACCGGCTTCAAGATCCAGAAATGCAGACTGCAATCAGAGTGAGCACACCACATTGCACTTATATGACAGCAACATACCATTAACATCACACGCGAGATGGGGTGGGTAGCTCTTCACATGTTTACAGCTGTCATTTTGTGTCAGTTTCAAGATTAGCTTAACAGTTTTATCGACCAGGATGTTTGAATGCAGTATTCATGGTGTCTTAATATATATACAAGCTCTGTATGTTAAAATTCGAAAACTTACCATACTACAAGTACAATGAGCTTAAGTGGATCGAAAGGAAGAAAAAAAAAATCCACGTGACCTCTACCACTGTCTGGTATAGGGACATCGTTTAGATTATATAAGCTTTCCCTGCTTGGCTTGCAATTTTTAGTTGGTAGACATCAGATGTATGCCTTGATGTCAATCAATCATTTATGTGAATTATGAGTAGCGCAAATGCAAGAATGGATGTGCTGAATGTGTTTCTTAGTACTGCTATCTCCATCTCCATCTCCAAGCCCTTTGACCAACGACACACCAATGGAATGGCCAGGACATGACAATGACATGCTATGCAAAGAGCAGACTCATAAGCTCAATAGCATTGCTTCATTCAAGAGAAGGAAACCAGAGTACATAGTGGTAGCTTGTAAATTCACAATTACTGAGGCTATCCTAGTGTAACTGAGGAAGAGCTCCAAGCCAGATACCCAGTCATTCCAGAAGTCCCCAGGAAGAAGAGTAAAAGAGAGATTACAGCCTGTCAAAAACGTGAAGGAGAGAGCAACGATGCATTTTCAAGGTGTTTGCGAGCCACAGAGAATAAATGGAAGAGGGATGTGCAACAGTACATCTGCAGGTTTTCTCTGCATGAACCTTTGATGACGATGAGGGCAGATCCGAAGTAGAAAGTGAAGCTCCTGCTGCAGGTCCATCCAAACGGCAAAAGCGCACTGAGGAGGCTTCTTGGAACATTCCAAGCAATCCTGATCTACCTCCTCATATTAGGGTTTGGTCTCCCTCCATCAAGACCATCAATAACCTATCAGCATCATGTTCGGCAGGACCATGTCCTGTTGTTGACATCCCTGCTCCTTCTAGCACTGACAAAGGGATCCAATGCGACCTCAGAATGCCCCCACGCCATGTAACAGATTTTGGTGTCAGTGCTTCTGGTGTATCCAACGACATGCCAACCATATCCTGGCATCAAATACGTATGCCTGGCAACTCTTCCATACCCCCGGCTCACATTGTACTACTGTACATTCCTGAAGGATCAGAAAATTTACTTCAGCACATGAGTCCTTTGGTTTCCTGGAGTTAAATCCATTCATATATCTACAGCATGCTGACAATGTTCGTAGCCAGGCCTCATGTCATCTCATTCTGGAAGATACCAATGAGCATATCATCTTTATACACCCACCCTTCCCAGACGATATGCAATTGATTAACACCATTCTCAAGCATTTAGCACACAATCGAGGTGTTAAACTAGAAGGATTTCGCAAACCAGACATCGTCGAGGCATTGACATCAGAGTACATGGCAAAGCATTGGAATGTTCAGCCTGCACAGCTCGTCGAGGTCCATGGTATGTGTTCTGCATGTTCAGTGTGCTCCTGCATCAAATCAGTGCCACAGATACGTTGCAAAGCATGAAGAAACCTGCTGACCCATTCAAGAAGATGCTGCATTCCGAGTTCATTGAAGGCGTCACTGATCCAACATGTAGTGAAAAGATCCTTGATGGTCCCATGTCACATCGAGGAGCCCCCCCTCCTTTTGGGTCCATGCTTTGTTTCTTGCTTTCTAATGCTGCTTCTGATGTGCAGATAGTCTCATGGATGACAGCTATGGCGCTTGGAATAATATCTCATCGCAGTACAATTGGCCACATGGACTATCCAGAGAGCAATAGGCTGATATAAACTGGAGGCTTCTTCATCACGCCCTCACATGGACTGATGAACACCATGATGCAGATGGTAAGATTATGCTTATAGCCGCAGAACAAGGTTGCAAACTTTGGATCGCGATTTTACCTATGTGAGCCCTCTGTCGCAATGAGGTATACAAGTTTTACCATGATGCCCTCAATATCAATGAGCATGACAAACTAAGATGTGGACAAGATTTGTGTGTGGGATTTACTCTAGTTTTGCTACCAGGAGATTGCTAGTATGCCACTCTGTCTATTTGTAGAACAGCACTGATACGATGCTCCCTAGCTTCCAGCCTTCTGGCACAGTCCACACCATATATACCCCAGAGCCTAGCTTCACCCGAGGAGCATCATTTTGGTCCTTAGCCACTATGCACCAAGTTGAAGTATCTTGTTTATATGACATTGAGGGAGGTATTTGGTTGACAAACCTTGACCACGATCCTGAATGTGTGTACGAGGCACTGGTACATATGATGTTGTACCTACTGACACACCCCGATAAGCATATGCACCATTTTCTCAACATAGCTGCTCTTCACATCTGATGAGATCTTCAGCACTCTATAAATGGAGCCTAGCGTCCTTTTTGCTTATGGTACTGGACCCCATGTCATATGTTCCAACACATTGCAGAGCATATGGATTCCCCCTCAGCAAAGATCAGGCTGCTGAAAAAATTGTGTGTAGGCTTCATGAGCAGGCATTGTCCCATTCATGGAAGAGAGTGGCTCATTGTTCCTGGGCTTCTCTGGCTCAGAATTATGCCAGAAGGGTCGTCACGTTCATTGGTTTACCTCATGTAGAGGATCTGAAAATGTTTCTGGAAATGGGTGTAGCACTCTCTGATCCTGGTGAAAAGATCTCCCTTTCTGGGGTTTTGAATGAGATATTGCAAGAACAGAAGAAGCAATGGGAACAAGAGGGAAAAAAGCAGCTTGAAGAAGATTGAAGAGGAAGAACAAAATCCCATAAAGGCAAAGGAGACACAAAGAGGACGGCAGGGCACGAGGAGGCCGAAGAAAATTGAAGAATCAGGAACTAAAATAACAGCAATGATAGAGTCATATACAGTAGTAGAATATTCATTACGAGATGTGTCGCAGTTCACTAATCTAGACTATCATGATCCTTGATGATATGTGAATCTATACTTATTCTCTGTTCAAAAGTGAAGTTCCAAACGACAAAGAACGATTACTGAGGTGACAACCTTTCCTATCTACTTGTTTGGCATGATGCTTCCTTCAGATTTTTTTGAAAAAAGTTACATTGACTCGTTTATGTAGATGGATGCCATGTGTTCGAATCAGTGAGTCCAAATGTCATCCTCACCTTCTGCTCCTTTGGGGAGTCTGAAGAAAAGGCACCTTTAAAAGTCACTTTCAGGACTTGATTGGGAGGTGAGCATGGCTGATGTTTGCAAGAGAGAAGGATGTAACATTGGGTGTTCAGGTATTGATCATGCTTTAACAGGTGCAAAAGCAAGGGGTACCTGGAAAACAAATTGTCAGAAAAAGTGTCGAAGCTTAATAAGGTAAATGAAATTATTAAGTAATACAATTGTGTGACAATGAGCTTTATCACTCTTATCAAACCGAACACCCCTAACAATGGCCACTCTGTTCCTCAAAATGACAAAGTCTTAGCAGAATGTCTGGCGAAGTCACATAACTCAATGCCTTTCAGACCGGACTTTCATCTGGCAAGGCCTAGTCAGGCCACTGGCTGCCTTTCAGCATTTCAACCCTTATTGTGTCTAAAAAGCCAAATGCAGAAATTCCGACAAAAGAACACAACATTCTTGCAAGATTCATAACGAATTAGCATTGGAGTAGTTTGGTCAGCAGTTAGTAAGGACCAGTATGCCTCATAGATAGCTATCCAACATAATGCAGACGTTGCCCATGTTAGGAACACGGAATGCCTTTGTTTGTTTATGCTGCCTCTTCCATGTTTTTAGCAGAAGGAAGGAGATTTTATTAGTCGTCCATGCTCTTGAACAGAAATGTAATGACATTCATACTACAAGGAGATGTTTCAAACATTTGTTATGCAAGTTCCACTTGAATTTCCATACAGAGTAATCTGCAGGATTGTTCTACCCAAAAAAGCGCATATAACTCTGATATCTCTCAGACTGTCTTTCCAGATGGATCTGTTCAATATATTCAACATTTGGTCCTGTAGCAGGTAGAGATCTGCCGATTATCATTGACACTTGCAGAATGTAATTTTTAGATATCTACCCATAGTATGGACATCATTATGTTTCTGTTCAGGAGCACCAACGACTAATAAAACTCACTTCCTTCCTTCCGAGTGGGCTAGATAAAAACATTGGTTGACAGTCCAAATCAGGTGACCTCCTCCCAACATTGAGGAAAATAAGCAAGCTTTAGAAAATGATGGAATCGTTGTACTTACGCGATTGTATGGAAGGACATGCTGAATGCATTGACCACCTATGATAAGCTTGATTTTGATAAAGGGCAGATAATTTAATCTGTCTGTATCACCTGCAGGCCAGATGGCAGCTGCAGCTCTAAAGACATCAGAAACCCCATGTCGAATGTCCTATACATATCTGGAACAGGCAGCATTATACTCAGGCTCCCAATAGTACACAACAGTCTAACTGCAATATATATGCCTTTGTTCGGGCTCCCACAGAGCTGTGCAGTGAAAATCCATTGTGTCTGGGTAGTTACTGTGAGAATGTCTGGATGGATTGAGTGGCTGACGAGGACAGGGCTTCCACACAGCTGGTGGATGGAATATTCTATGCTGTCGATGGCCGTTCTGTGCAGATCCCTGAAAGCCCAATCTCGAAAGTTTAGGTGTTCGTCACATCCATGAGTGAGAATGTACGAGCTGAATGGCTCCAGAATACTATTGTCAGGGAAGTATTCCTGACTGTGATCAACAGCGTTGTCGAAGGAGAGATCCTCAGCTAAGATTCCCACACCAGCCCTTGTTTCCCTTTCAATCTTGTGGTACTCTTCAATGAGTTTGGGCGCTTGCTTGTGGATATCAGGATCCCCTTTAAATATCACGAGGAAATTAGATGCTTGTGTGATGGTACATGTGAATGTAGACTCCCAGTTCACCTGCAGTATGTGCTCAGCAGCAAGGGGAACATCAGTTTGAAAATGTTAGCCTTACCGGATTTCAGGTTGGTGTTTCCCTGCTGCATCAAAAAATTGAGGTGCTCAAAAGCAGGTACACGATATGAATGAATAGGTCCTATGCATCGCATGAATTCGCCTGACGCCTAGATGGAGGGAAATTTGATGAATCAGCTTCATTTTGAAATCTTTATGTAAAATTTGGGCAGTTTGAAGATAATGAAAAGCATGACGTTCGTAGGAGTCAACGAAGATGGTAGATATTGTGCGATTATGGGTGGTGTCTATAGCCTTGACCATATCAAGAAAAATTTCCAACATCACCCTCTTGTGTCCTAAATCAGAACCCCAAAGGTGCACCAGGGTAATCAGTAAATGAATTGAACATATCATTTTCCATTGATCAGCACTAAGTTTTCCTCATCGGGAGGTTCCCCAATCTAGCAGTACTGGATATAATGCAAGTGGAAGAACACATTGTATGTCCCTTCTGAACTTCTTCCATAATGGACTTGCCGAGGACATGCCATGGTGGTCATGGTATATTTTCGACATCTTTCATCTAAAATTGGGGCTATAAGCATATGATAGCAGGAATATAGCCACCCAAAGTCGAAGGAATGCCCTTGTCTGTGCACAAGGCCTTGGGATATGTTTTCACGAGTCGGTTCAACTGATTCTCAAACAGTTCACCCACTTCTCTCGATACAGATCCTTGTCGAAGATGAAAGGTGCACTGCACCTTCGCTTATTCAGCAAGTTAGTGACAGGTTGGAAAGACTGAACTGACAATGCGAGCATGAGTGATTGGTGTCCGGAAAACCCACCAAGCATTTGAGGTGGTGTATAATACAATTCTGACATCACTGACAACGTAGCATGTATATTTCCAGGAGACATCAAACCAGAGGTGGTTGGGCCATGAGGAACTGAAAAACTAAAATGATCTGGAGCAGTTGTATCAGCAACAGCAGGCCTAGGGAAGGGGAGTCATGGAGGCCTGTAGCATCATTTCCTCAATGTCAAGTTGGGGGTGGAAGGTAAAATCCTCCATTACTTCATGCTGAAGGGGGCAGGTTTGAGGGGTGTAGAGGACTGCATTGAAAAATACACTTACCCAACCCACAATCTCATCAATTAACTGACTTTTGGTTTTTGTGTTGGGAAGGTCGTTGTCGTAGCATATATACCATAATATAATTTTGGTAGCTTTCATCAGCTGCTTCTTCAGAGCTTTGGTTTTGGGCATATCATTGATGATTGATATCCAATGTAGAAGGATGGCATTGCTGGAACAATCTTCGGGCGGCGTTTTGATGGTAATTCTGTCACCTCCTTCAAATTGTACATCAATGCCCCAAACAACATGACAGTGTTTCTTGAAAAGACCCAAGGAGCCCATATGCATAGATTCAACTACCATATGTATTCCAGTACGGTAGCCTAAGAAGGGCAGACCAGTGAACATAGGTCCGTTTGAATGCCTTCACTTGGTCTTCCACAGCCACCACATTCTTCCAAGCTGTTGCATCCATGAGATGATCATGAACATCACATTTAGGCCATCTATCTCTGTTGAGGTTGTTGATGTCTTGTATCGCTAACTTGCAACACGTGCAAAAGAATTTCGATGTCGCACTTGAGAAACTGCCTGCTTGCTGTGCTGCCAGCATATCACAGACAACTGGAACCAAAGCTGCTCTGCAGAGACAACCCCCAGCAAAGTTATGTGTGCATGTAAATCTAACACCTGGCTGCCAAAAGTCTAAGAGGTTGTCGACCAATATGTCCAAAGCATGGTTTATGGCATCCAGCGGAGGGTGGCCTGGTCCAGGAATGACATCGACAAAGTACATATTTTCAGGAAGGTTGTGAAGGTGAGGGGGGGGGGGGGGGGGGGGGGGGGGGAAGTTGAGAAGAACCAGGTATATAGCAGTGCATGATGTGGTTTGCTTAGCCTCTTTGACTTGAAAAGGGTTGAAGCCATCCATTCCAAAGCTGAACATAAACCTTCCTTCCCCACTACCTGTGCCAGTTGTCATAAAAGGAAGGTTATCAGGGCTAAGGAATGCATTCCAGAAGGGCGAGTCATGAATATCTGACATGTTCTCCTGGAGTATTGCTTTGTTTGCTTTCTGCAATATCTCTTCAACACCCAGCTGAGCTAATGTTACGAGGTCCAGTCCAGTCTTTTCTAAAAGTCACAAGTGAATTGTCATTATGAGAAGGATAATAGGCAATGAGACGATGGATGTAAGCATCGATTTAACAAGATACTGGTAGAGTATCGAAGTGATAATCGCAAGGAATGAATCAAATGAGAGCAGGCAGAAGATAGTACTTTTCCAGACATACGTGAGCAGTCAGGGTTTCAGTCCACATGAAAAAATACAGCCATAGACAAAAATAAGAGAAGGTGTGAGGATTTGGTACAGTTGTGGCAGCCAGGCATGAAGAAAGCACGTCGCGATGATGGTCTCACTCCAGGACACAAAATGATATTCAAATATCTCCTTGTCATTAAATATTGGGTTTTCCGAATGATGTCACATGTCCTAGAATGGAGCAGAAGAAAGTGAACAGTGAGGATGTGAACTCATGGGAGTATGACTCAGGACTATGCTAGCATGCACATTGTCTCGAGCCAGAAATTCATGGGGGATTGATTATAGCTTATGGTTTCACACTGTGCACTAGAACCCTGTTGTTGGTATAAGTATTGACCTTGTGACAACTCAGGGGATTGCGATTTCTTCAACGAAGCACATTCTTGAACTGGGTACACTTTTCTTCAATTGAACCTTGAGGAGAGAACTGCTTAGGTTCATGAAATGAGGATGATTCATACTCAATGAAATTTGCAATACAAAAATAGACTGTTGTCAAGCATAAGGTGTGATAGGTTCCTAGAAGACAATGGTATTGCGATACTAGTCTTAAAGTTCTACATGCATTCAACAAGCATTCAAGTATATCTAATGAAGACAGTTGTTCTTATCAGCTAGTTTCATTCGCTGAGGTGCTTGAACACTTTCTATATGGGGGGGTTCAGGTCAGTTGGTCAGTCAGTACATTGAAATCCCTGAATACTGTCTGGTGATTCCAATCATAGAACAAGTCATGGTATTTTTGCTGACAGTGGCTTGATCTTCTTGACCAATGTATTACATCTTCGATGGTATTTGGGCACATCGTGCATGAATGTGCAGACACGTATCATGATGCAAAGACAAAGTTCGTGAGTTTTTGCAGGAACATTGAACCTAGGTCAGTTTGATCCTGAATCGACTGGGAGACGATGCAGAGATGTCTAACTGATGCGAAGGATATATATCATGACTTTACAAAGCTATGGTCCAATGTAGGGATGATCACCATACCGTTACAGGTATGGCCATAGGGTATATGACCTGCTACAGACATGGTTGGGTCTGTACTGTAATTTCCTAGTCAGGCTTTGCAACAGTGCTAACAGTCAAATATATGTCCATGACGGTCATACGTATGGCCATATGCATTGCATGTACATATTGCACCTATAATGTCTATGATGCAAGGTCAGTCATTAGCAAATGTAGCAGCAATATCACTAAGTGTGATGCAAGCTTTTATATTAGACCATGCATGCAGTTTCATTGACTTCTAAAGGCTTTTTGTGCTTAGTCATGTCCATAGTAAACTCATGGCATAGTGTATGCTCGATATTTTTGCACAAATAAGGACATTGCACATTTAAATGTGTGAGCCTGTGAAACAAGGTACCATATGTGGATGCTTCAAGAGAGCAGCGAGCATTGCCACATTGATGTCCATAAACAGCCATATACAGCTGAACTTTAACATGAAATATGGTCCATAGAGGTCAATTGCTGTGCCATATCTGTACTGTAGGGTCCTTCATCAGTGCACTCACGGCACTAGGACTGTATCCATAGGGACCGTCTGTATACACTGTACTATGGTCATGGTGATCATCCCTAGTCCAATGTCATCATTGTCGGTCAGTTGTATAGGATGTTGCTAATAGACTGACACCTTGTCTGCTGTCGATACTTCAGAGCTCAAATGCAGATTACAGACTAGGAGAAACATCATGACACAAAAAAGATAAAGTTAGTGAGAGGTTGCAGGACTTGGAATTAGAGGTACATGTTGATAACATAAAAATTATATTATCATAATTACATCGCTACATGTCTCCTAGCTCATATGGTACCATGGCAGAACCTTTACCAGAAACAACCTGTCCATTATACTTTTCATGATTGATAAGATCAAATTCGAAGGGTGACTGGGCATTCCCCTCACCAAAGGCAATGTCGGTTTTGTGAGAAAGAGATCAGCATCAATGACATGAGAAGGCCTGGAAGCCCTACTCATAACATCAAGATAACCCTCAAGTTCCTTGCAGGTAATTTAGAAAATGGGTCTGAAAGGAGCATCTATGACAGCATACTAGTTGAAGATGGTGCCATGCTTGGTCATCTTTCAAGTCTCAAGGGAATCATCCCTTCCATGCACATTGTACCAAAATCCACCAGTGATGAAGGTTTGCGCCACCTTTGATGTCTTGGTATGATTTCACTATGTGCTTGATGAAATTGGCTCTATTAGAGTGTTTCATTAGGTGCAGAATAATCTACAGGGAGACAGGATCAGAAAGACACAAGTCACACATTAACGCTATGCAAAAGCTTACAGGACCCATGGATCAGATGGCAGGCAAGTAGACAAGGGAAGGGTTGAGACAGCAATAGCAAGCAAAATGACAAAGGAAAGTGAGTGCAAACTTGGGTGGAAACAAAAATATGGAGGACTTTCCAACAGCTCATCGATATACTAGTAGCAATAGAAATGGATTTAAGAAGGCCAGCAGAGCATGAAGGTGACACCACAATGTAATACTACGTGCTATTGTCGGGTGGCTCACAGAAGCGGGAGCCTTATTCTGAGAGGTATTGATGGCTGCAGCTCATCATCAGAGAGTCGGTTATGTTGACCAAGCATCTCTGAGAGTTATTTCCCAATCGGGAGCCACTATAAGATATCAAAGCAACCTCTTAATTCTAGATTCTTCCACTTGTGGAGAGTCAGTTATGTTGACCAAGTGTCTCCTAGTAGTTAGAATGCTAGTCGTCAAGGAGGTGAGGGAAAAGGATACCTGGTCATGCCAACCTGGATGTTGATAAATACATTGCGAGCATGGCAGCTGTCTTGCAAGATTCCCCAGCGACGTTTTGAACTGTCAGTGGTTGCAGTGGCAACCAAATAACTAAAATGAGATAAGTCTGCCAATCAAATGTCAGGCTCAACAGCTGCGATGTAATTGCGTCGTTACCAGACTTCTCGATCCCATAAGTACTCGGCCAAACAGTATCCCATGGATTACAGAAACAGCGAACCCTGTTTCCCATCCAGAAGACAATAATTCAAAGCCCATGGCTAAATCACTGTTCTCTGCAGAGAAGCAATGGCCCCTGCCCAAGGCAAGAGGACTTGATGGAATGCTTTCACCCAAAGCAAAGCCATCTTCAAAATGGCAAGCAAAGATATACCAGTCTAAGAAGGACAAATCAGGAAACACGAAAGCAATGGAAAAAGAGAACCCTTACTAAGTATCTGAAATATGTCCATCACCTAAAAGGTGATGTGACATCCACGTTCATATCATTGGCATGCTGTTCCAAATCTAACAAATGCTGGTTAGTCCCAAAGCGAACAAACATTAACGATGCATATGCACCAGTAGTCACTGCCGTAGAAGCAAGTACCTCATTGTAATAAGTAAACACACTTCTTTGAACCTCTCAAGAGCGGTGTCAAGTCCAACACATTTCCACAGATCATTCCCTACCTGAACAGCGGTCATAAAACTATCATTCATTGCTCGACTATTGACCAGGTCTATCGTGTTTATGTTTACCTCTGGGCCATGGAGCAGGATGACACAGACCACCTATGATGTGTCCACATGTACTTCTCCCTTTCCTCGGATGAATACAACTGCGAGACAATCTGTCTACTTGAGGAGGACCCCTACTGTCAGGTAGTCATTGCAACAGTTGCATTTGCCAATGGAATCGACTGTCGTACTCTTGATAGTTTATCTATCGGAGTGGCAAAGGCATTAGACTAAATCTGGCAGGAAAAGGATGCATTGCTCAGTTTCTTGAATTCATAGGACACGGTATAGTGCTTGTCCAGCTGAGCAACTTCAAGGCAGCTGAGAAATTTTTGAGTAGTAGTGGATTGTCTCCAGGAAAAGAACGAAGAAATTGAAGTTTGAAGACTCCATGGATTATGCCAAGACAATGCTTCTGGTTGAGAAGATTTCCTACATTGCCATGATCAACCACAACCCACTGACCAAGAAAACATATCTGGATTGTCTGACTGCTAAGCGATGGCTCCCTTGCTCGTTATGCTGTCTAGAGGAAAGGTTACACTTGAATTTGCTGCACCTTCGTATCCTGAGGAAACTGACCTGCCTCCGCCTTTTCTTCTGCCGAATGGAGTTGCCGCCAAACCTCGTTCCAATACCAAGACTACACTGACAAAAAAAAGTCTTTGCAGGTGCAGGCATCTCTAACGGAGTATGGAAATCAGCTTGATCAGCAGGAATGCCTCTTGAATCCTTTCTTGTCTCGAGAGCGCTACTTCCTTTTGACTCCATGCCTAAAGATCGCTAGATGTCTTCTTACAATTACTTCTGGTCCTATTCCCTGTCATCTTAAGCGATGCCTCCTGGCATTTCACTTTAAACATATGAAGACAATCTCTATGAACATATCCTAATGCAATTAACGTGATAAAACCCGGATCAAACACAATGCCAAGAAGTGAGCTCGAAAGGAGAAGCAGCTAATGATCTCTGATGAAGATTCAGGGGAAGATTCAGCACTGATCTTCAAGTTCGTTCTGATCCAGATTCGTGTCTCCAGTGTCAAGCTTCAAACGGTCCTTCTTGATGACTCTAGCAATCCCATAGGCTGAATGCATTTGGGTCGCAATCCTTGAGTTGAATGGCAGTAGCTGCAGTTCCAACCTTCAAAACACTTTGATACTCTATCCCTGCCCCCTGGACAAGACAATACCCCTGAATATTGTCGATAACACAACAATATCCTGCTCCTCGACATGCAGTATGGTTTGCAATAAATGCTTGAAGCGCAGAACGACCCTTATCCATCATGGAATTATGAGCTGTTGTGTCATGAGATATCATCTGAAGACAACATGAAATTCATTTGACGTTGACATGAGATTGGCAGGCAAAATGAAAAACCGAAAATGCAAGGGCAAAATATCCATTTGCATGAGAGTTCTGGCTCATAATAGCAGAGTTGATCATGGAAAAAGCAACCTTAAGAGGATGGTAAGTGTTTATTTCTGTTTGTAATCAGTATAGAATGACATACAGGCAAATATGGCCTTTGCTGGTGAACAACAAGGACACCATTCTTCATTGGTGCTGCCATTGACTCAGTCATATCCCATACAATCTTCTCCTCTTGCTTAATTCAAGCGATGGATGCCTCCAAGCTAAAGTTCTCAATATCACCCCAAGAAGCGGTATCTGGATTTTGAACATGACTGTTTGTTGCTGCAGGAGGGTATCGTCACATTTTGTTTGAGGGATCTTTCAGATGTGCAAGATGGTGAACTCCGCTATTCAAACGGCACTGCACAAGCTGCACAGCCCAGGCTGATAAACCCGGGTGAGCATACCGAATAGAAAAAGGATTTTCGGTGGTAGAGAAGGCATGATGGCACTCCGAGATGTACTTTGATCGAAAGGAAGCTGTCACGATGCTTGTATACCTTGTTGATGATACTAGCAAAGGAGTCAGTTTTGACCTCTCAGGTAGGCTTGGACCATCCACCAATGTCGAACAGAACAGAGATCAGCAAGCTCCTCTACTGATCTGTTTCAGAATAGGACATCCAGAAATGGTCCTATGCTGCCAAAGTCCTTCTGAATAACACCAAGAGCACCATGGGCCCTCTGAGAAACACTCCATCAAGGAGCCTTCACTTTCAGGCTGGTTTCAGCTCTGTAATCACAATGTTCTCGATGTGGGTTGGGATGGCAGAGAAATCAACTACAGGTGAGTCCAAGAGATCTAAGCATTCCCTGTTTACCGATGTAACTGTTGTAGTGTAGTATAACAAAAACATTGCTGTAAATGCATAGACTGGAGGTAGAGTCAGTACCAATGGTACAGGTGATGTTGCCATACAAGAGCCAGACAGGTAACATGGGAACCTCATGCACATCATTCCTTGGAATTTTAAGTGGATTCAGCTTGTCCAAGGCTTTCAGGGAGTCCAGCATATTCAGGCTCATAAGACCTGAAATATCACGCATGATAAGTCACAGCTAAGATGGGTGTTAAATGCAACTTACCTTCCATATACATTGCGATAAACACCAGAATGTTTGTGATGGCCAGACCCATGCCCTGGGTAAGAAAGGTGTCCATCATCATGCTGAGAGATTCTCTGGTGTTCACGATACACAACCCATTCAAGGCAGTTATGAAGGAGATCGAAACTGTCTTCCCAAGATTGGTGGAGATTAAAACAAACAGTGAATAGATCAATGCAGTTATGACCTTGAAAGGGTGCTCCAATAAGGTGCATGAGGTTAAGAACACCTCCACAGAGTTCATGCTGTCTTCATATTCCTAAGAGAGACAGTCGCCCATCAGCTATACCTTCAAGGGTATCTCTCTCTCTATCCTTCTCTGTCGGCCCCTACCAGGAAACCAACTGAGTTCGCATTGCAGGTCCAGCACTTCAAAAAACTTGGGTGAAGCTGTGTTGCACTGGGAACAGAACTTATTAAGTACAGGAGGGCGTAAACTTGGGTTGTGCATGAACACATTATTGTGTTTGTGTGTTTACGGACTTGTGACCAAAATTGGTCACTTGCGCTCGCTACTAACCAACTTGCCAATGGATAATGTGACTTGCACCTATATGAATTTTTGCACGCTATTACACCTATAGGAGTGCGACTTAAGCCATTTCCTCCATCCCAAGCACCAGCCTTGGTCTGTATGCTTCACCATAACCTCCAGAGTTAGTCGTGCATTGGGTCAGCGCATTAAACAAAAGTAAGAAAGTCGATGTATATCTCAGTATGTTGTGAGTAGAATATCTGATATAAAGTTCATTCAGATCTGTGATGCCAAGAAAAGGACATGATACAACATCTGTTATACAGTCAGAAAAAGAGCGAACTATAACTACCAAGAAGTGAGAGTATACCACAAAGGGTGTCTAGGAGGCAGATGAGTAAACCTGGAAAATATTCGTCACTCAGGAGATGTACAATGATGCATTATTATTGAAGATTCAACAGTTTAAGTCTACTGTTCCACGACATTGGTGCCTCTTGATGCGTTTGCAGAAGAGGGCCTTGAATACCATTCCCAACTTGGGATTGATGGGGGCTTGTGGTATGGGAGCTGATCCCAATGGCTGTGGATGTTCTGCGCTATTTTCCATGATTTGAATGGCGTTGGCATCATTCTGAGAGGAGGTGTGTGCATCTGTCTCAGTGGTGTTGCAATCTCGATCTGCATTGACGCATATAGGCACCCCAGTGAATGGTTCTGTATTAGTCAATACTGCCAGCAGAGACTGATTGCGTTACCCAAACCCACCTATCGTCGGGTGTTGAGTCCAAGGGCTCAGAAGATGCTGCAAGAGGGCAGGGTGATCAACGTAGGTTGAAGCAACGCGAGCCACCCCCCATGGTGGGACCTAGCGGCGGACCCATGGAAAGCAGCCAACGGAAAAATATCCAAGGAAGAGTGAGAAAAAGACAAAGTAGAGGGTTGAAAAGAAAAGAAAGTTATGGTAAGAAGAAGCTGTGTGTGTGGTGGGATCAGATAAGGTCAATGACACTGACATGCACATACAAATGAAACTCAGTAAAAGAACTCAGTCTCAACCTTGGAATGATTACAGTGACACCCATACACAAACCAAAATCTGCTGAGTAGTGGGATATCTTTTTCACTAACATTTAGTCTTGCAGTTGCACACACATTTGACAAGCATTTAAATACCTCTAACTAAGACAATCACTCTTTCAAGCTCATTTTGTGCACCAAGGCACTTGCCCACTCAGAACCTTAAGAACACTTACCATATTGGGGGATCAGGGTGCTTCATTGGTCAGTACAGACAGTGGCTCGCTGTTCTCCAGATATCTGGACAGGATGCATGGCACAGTTCAGACATGTATGGACATCTATCAGTTCCGCCATTCTAAGGGAGGTCTCAAATGACCGTTTCTTCTGGAGTGACCGATCTGAGACTGATTTTTGCTGATGTGACCGTTTGAGATAACGTGACTTGGAAGTGAGCAGGAAAAGAAGTCCCCCTACCTTGAAAATGTTTTACCTGTGCTTGGCATTGACACAGTCTTCTCTGTTCATTATTACTGATTTTGGAAGCGGAAAAGCTGATGCTAATTTTACATCTCTGCTCAATATTGCCGTTAAACGAGGCTAAGATAATTAAAAGTTATCTCACTGTACACTCAAGGTATGCTGGCGAATCATACAGCAATGTTGTTTTAATTCTTATTAGCTGATTCTTTGCCAGGAAAGGCTGATAAAAGAGGTCTGATTATTTAAAATAATATGTTAAATTTTTCAGTTTTTAACGTTTGATCAGAATTTTCCGCCTTCGATTGACTGATTACCCCCATAGTTAGTCTCGTTATCATCCTGCATATGAAGCAAGCTGTCGATATACAGTCTGGTCATTCTGAGTTTAAATTTGACAGGCGGTACAGATTTCGCTCAAAAGGCTATGATTGGGTTTCGCATGGCATGCAAAGAGCACTATTTCAATGTTCAACACTGTTTTTGCACCTAAGGTATCAGTATCTGTAGAAATACCCAATAAATGCATCAAACTTGCAAGTATGTCTTTTTTTTCACAATATCTGACTGCATTGTGCAAAAACACATGAAGGTACCAAAAACTGTGAGATAGATGTGAATTGGGCAGAAATGAAGCCGTGGGCAACCAAGTAGATGGAACAAAGAATTAACATACTGCATTCTGCACTGTTTCCAAGGCCCTATGGGCACTAATTTGAGTCCAGGAGAGTGTCCAGCGCTCTGAGAGGGTCCATTTGAGCCACGCAAAACTTTGATCATAGCCTTTTTAGGCAAAATTTATACTGCCTGCCAAGTTTAAACTCAGAAAGCCAGGACCTTCTATCATTGGCTTGCCACATAGAAGGTACTGTCACAGGACTACCCTGTAGTGTAGGCTCATGTGGCTTTGCTGATTACCCAATTACCTGTTTAAGATACTGCTGGGAAAGTCCAGGCGTAATGGCACTTCCCGGCGGTGTTTAAATGCATGACCATTACCAACACTGCGCAAGGCATTACGTGTCCTTTTCCTCTTCTTCTTTCGACTATTGTACATCGTAGAGCGGTCAGTTTTTGAATCCAGCATACAGACGTTGTACATGTATTAAGACTTCGTGAATACAATATTCAAACATTTTGGTCCCAAAAAAATTATGAGGGTCCTGAAACTGATGCCAATTAGTGACAGCTGTAAATGCTTTTTGAGCTACACACACCATTTTGCATGTAGTATTGATGGTACATTGCTCTGTTGTGTGTGGGGGTAATCTAGTATGCTCATTTTGGTCACAGTCGCTGTTTCTGGATGTTGAGGCCAGTGTTGATCATGAAGATGTTGAGTCCTCCAACTGGGAGGATAATGTCAAAGATGATTTTATCGATGACGATTCAGAAGATTGGGACAACACGACCAGCTTACTGACTACCGACCTCTTAGCCAACCCATCTGCTCCATCTATGGAGGAAGATAGATGGGGCAGGCCTCTTGGAGAGGGCAAGAGCCCATGTAGGCACCTCTGAGACTAAGTTGTGTGTTGATGGTATGCAAGGATTTAATCTGGGTCTTTTGGATGTCTCCTCAGAACTTTGGGTCCTATCGTGCATCAGTGAGTAGTAACTTTTTGTCTTCTTCATACATCTCTGATCAATCTTGAAGCCGGGCTGGGAAGACTATGTTGTGTTCCACATAGGACGTTGTGCTCAACAAGAACAGGGTGTAAAAGCAGCTTTTGTCATGCCACTTGTGGAAAAACAAGTATGGCTAGAAGCCAACATGTCGATGAGTTTGAAGAACTGGCTGGTCGATATACCTGGAGTCATCTGTCGCAATCAACAGGTCCTGCTTCATGCCATCTCTCCCAAAGAAAGTCAGCACATGCTGTCAAGCACAGTAACACCTCCTTCCATTCCTGGTAGCTGGGTCGAAGTTCGCCACGATCAATTAAAAGGCAATGTCGGGATGGCAGGTCGGTTATATCCTTGGGGGTGTAAGGTTCTTTTGGTCCCTAGACTCTGTCATAGGGCCAGGGAAGATCAGTTGACACACCAGCTATTCAACCCTACAGCAGTCAATGCCACTAAGAAGAGGTAGTCGCGCTACCACTTCCAGAGGTCAATATATGAACACGATCTTCTTACCATGCGGTTTAACTTCTCCCAGATTCAGACTGCCTACCAAATTTCAGACAATCTCACCACTCTTTTTTCCCGATCTTGGCATCCCCAAGTTCACCAGAACTTACGCAGCTTGCCCAAAATCTCGGAATGGTGTTTTCAAGTAGGAGAAGCAATCACCGACACCAGCAGAGGTCAATCTGGTATTATACATAGCGTCGGTAAGCAAAACCTAGAGGTTGATTTCATGGAAGGAACATTTCCCATTAGATGGATAGACTGTCAAAAGCAATTCGATGTAGGACAATATGTCGAGATCTCGGAGGGAGCATTTATGGATCGATGGTCCGGATGGATTAGTGCAGTTGAAGACAGAGTGTTGCACTTAATCTCCCATCATGGTACTGGATCACCAAGTTGAGGTACGTCGAATATATAGAACTTCCTCGCCAATCTCACACTATTTTCAGGTATGCAGCATTCACCCCAATGCTGTTGTTGTGATCTCTGCAGATAATTTGTGTGCTCCTCCCACTACAACTGTTCATACTACAACGTCGATACCTTCAGAGCCACCATGGAAGGGGACCATAGTTGTGGTAACAAAGACGCATCATAGATGGTATGTGAAGAAGGGACATGTGACTGATGTCATATGCATATCAGATTCAGTGACAGGCAGGCCAGTCTTACAAGTGCTTGTACAGCTCAAGCACTACAATCCGAATACCCCCTTCCATTCTTTATGGTTCTCTTACTTCGATATTGTCAAGGAGACATCGTACCTACCTCTCAATGAAGCACGACTGTTGCAAATGAAGGGCAGACAACCTCCTTCCAGGCACCCATTCTTCCACAATGAGCAGAATCTGGGAATGCTACTCCTCTACCAGATCCCTCTGAATGATACATATCTCCAGCATGGAATCCCTCCTCTCCAGACCCACCATCATACTGGTGCCTTGACCCTTGCCTCATCGGTGCCAGGTTCTGCAGTGCAGTACAATCAGCACACTGATCGTTGCCTTGGTCAAACGCGACAAGAAAAACAAAATTTTATGTGTTAGAGATGATACATCACTGGGAGAAGTCCTGGATCCTGCAAGAGTACTTGCGATTCACCCTAAACCCTGACACTACGACTTGTTTTTGGTGATTTTGGGAGAACATTGTAGGGAAGTGGGTAAGGAGCATCCAATTTACAAAGCGCTCTCACAACAATAACTCAGATCTTGATTGGACTGTTGCTGTTGTTGTTCTCAGAGCTCCCTACCTCCCAGATGATGTGACTGACGAAAAGCTGATCTTGCACAATTCGAAGATGACTATTGTTGAAGAGACCAAAGAATCCAAGGCATTGAACTTTAATTTGAAGAAGCAACTATGATTACCTTCATGAGTTTACTAGGGATTGTTATACGGTTTTGTTTCTTGTATATAGCCTTTATAACCACTCATCGAATCATTGTAATGGAAATCCTTGAATTTGTGAAGCGATATGCGCAGTATTCTATCTGGATCTGATTGCTAAGCTTAAGGTCAACCATAGCAATATATAAATAAGCCTTGGAGGTGACTATCATGACACTTTGATCTGATTGTAGGAACACTGTTGAGCATGGTGATGATATTTATTATTCGATTTCCTTCAAATACAGCATGATATCTCTTTGTATCATATTGGTTAAACGGTAGTGAAAGCATCAGTGCAATCTTGCTTGTGGACTATGAATATGGTCCCTTCCCCTTGAGGCACACATTTCCTCATGAAATAGTTGCTAAAGGTATTACAGAAATCTCCTTCAGCACATGGTGCCCACCCTCTGATTGAAACATAGAGCACGAAATCACTGCCACCATCTGGGAGAAACAGGGCTTGGAGAATGTTGATAAGCAATGGAAAGGACATATTTCCTCCCTTTCAGCATAGGATCTTGTACAGATCCATGTTGAGCTCCTTGTGGTGACTGTTTTCTTGCCCTCATTCATTTGAATGATAAGCTTCACGTTCACTATCTGTATGCATGGGAAAATCAATGAATTCATCAGACACTCAATGTGAAGAGGAGAACAAATGTCTCCTTCCATCTGGAAGGAGCGGTATACAAGCACACTTACATATATTTCTCCACGTGAAATTTTGACAATGACGAGAGCAGGCCACAACTGCAGAGTGGAGTTTCTGCCATCAAACAATCCAAACAGACAATACATACTGAGGATGAGGTACTGTGATAATTTCCAGACAATTCTGCTATACTTTCCTAGTACTAAGCATCAGCAGTTGTCCAGATCTGTACGACTGAACAAGCCTGGTAGATTGTCTTGTTCAGACAGACTGAGCTCACATCTCCATTCATGCATATCGATGTATGTTGTGTTAGCTTAGTTGTGGTTGAGCACATCGTCGCAATTATACAATATGAGGGAGGTCTGAATTATTATTCTGTGATTTAAGCTACTGTCTCTGATGTCTTCACTCTGCCTGGTCATGTACACTCTCACTACTTCCAAGTTCACTTGCCCTGTTTCTCGAAGGCTTTGTCTCTGTACTTGTAAAGGTGAGCATCGAATATTTGAAGATAAAACCCAAGGCGTATCTGTATCGCTTCTTGTAGGATGCAGTGAGAGCAAATTCTGGCATTGAGTAAGTACTGTTTGTAGCATCTGGGCATGGGTTCCGATTGAATTCTTCTGCTAGAATAAGGTAGTGGAATCAGAGGTCTGTACAAAGGGAGCCTCACCCTCTCCTCCAGCTCTGCAACAGTAGCTGCAAAATGTGCCTTGACACCTAACAAGTGTTGTTTTCATTGCTAGAGGACCATAACACCTGCGTTAGGAAATGTAAATGGAGGATGATAGGATCCAGCAAACCTTGAGCATGTCATTGAGCTGCTGGAGCTAACAATCTTAGGTCAGAAGTCTGTTCTCCTCATAAAGGAAATGCTCACAGAGTTCTCTGAACTAGAGACTGTCCTTTGGTCTATACTAGGTAGTGGTGAACTGGCCAAAGGTTCTATGAAGGTCTTTGCCCCTTAATTCCAGGCTGATTTTATTCAGAGCATCAGCACTCAGGCTTCTCAGGTGGCCTTTCTTCAGCAACCAACTGCGTCCTGTGAAGATTGGGGTTGATTTTGAGAAAGGGGAGAACCCTGCAAATTTGGTGTCAGTAAACAATGAAAATGTATCTCCAAGAAAACAACACACAGACTGTTTTGTTAGGAAGCCCTAGTCGAGCCTTGATGCTATGTATCAACAGAATTCTTGACCCTTTTTTGGACCAAGCCTCAGTCTCTTAAATACTCTTCCCTCACCTGTCGAACTCTAGGAGATGGTTCAAAAGGTGAAGGATGACATGGAGACCAATGAAGACTTACAAATCCACACCAGTATTGGTAAGTCTAACATTATCTTTTTGGGACTGCAGGAGTCCCATTTTGACCTGAAATGTAAACATGAGTACTTAGATAAGATTAAAGTTCAAGACTGGTACTCGCCCCATGGGTGATTGCAATATGTAGGTAAGCTTCAGTATGTAGACCTCTCCATTCACCAGCAGCTTTGCTCAGGGCGATGGCTGTGGAGATAGCTTAGTTACAGGTTGTTCCAAGAGGAAGATTGCATACCCCTTTGGACCACCTGACTTCTTAGATGACCAAGTCTGGTCTGGGGAGCATCGAAGCCCATAGCTCTATGATACAGAAACAACAAAGTTTTGAATCGGCAGTTCAAAATTCGACCATGGTTGACCTACTTTGCGCATTGGTCAGGTTAATTGGGTGGTTGGTTATGTGAGCCATGTTATGAAGTGGGTGAGAAGATGGGGATGAAGTGCTAGGAGAAAGACAGAAGGGGCAATATATGCTGGCATCTGCCAGAGAGTCAATCTACTATTGGGATGCATATGTCTTTTCGGAATGCTAAACTGTGGCATCCAGAACTGCCAGTTAGAGCTGGACGCATCCTGGATCCTAATTGTCAACTGTCTGCAAAGGGTGTTTAAGAGTATTGATTAACTATCTCCACTTATCCCAGTTAAACAGAGCCAAACTGATTTGAAACTGATCTGGATGGCTTGGAATGAGTGTCCTTACGTAGCAGGAACTCAGCCACAATTTTTGGTCCTCTCCATATCATAACTCGACAAGTGCAGATAGTGCTTGTGATATACTTTGTTACAGACTTGCTGCACTACCATCTACTAAGGAATGGAACCGACTGTTTAATTGAGCGATGGTCCAGAGAACACTTGCCATGAACAAGCTTGGTGATCGGTTCCTACAACATGAATGTAGTAATAGATTTCTAAACTCTAAACTCTAGAGTAAAGTGTTGGTCTAAATATGTCATCAGTATGAATTGTTGAGGATCGACGATTCGCCCATTGTGTGGACTGGTCACAGATCTGAGATTAATCAGATATCAGACATACCCACTTGCCATGCAAGCATTACCATGTGTACATTTGCTGACTATGGCAAATGCCCCATCTGAAAGCAGGAACCTTGAAGACCAAAGGTCCGGAAATTTTGTGACATCAAAGTGCATCCCGTAGCTTCCTGATGAGGACAGGATGTAAGAGTGACTAGGTACCAATCTCTGAGACCAACAAAAGTCGGACTTCCTTTCTGTTCTGGTGTATCAATGACTAATCAGAGTAATCCATCCTTTCTGGACTTCTGAAAGCAGGAAACCACGTGTTTTTGTATTTGTAGATATTGTTACTTGTCCTGTTATAGCGAGTTAGGGTGTTGTGGCTATAGATGTTTGAGGAAGGAAGCACTAGTAGCCACCACCATCTAATACCACTGTAGCAGTGCAGTTTCCAGCATGAACCTGAGAGCCATTAAGAGCAGATCAATTGTTGAACTGCAGGTTGCTTGGCCTGGCAGGTGGACAAAGAACTTCGCAACTAGTAAGATGTGGCTGTGCAGAAATGTATGGGTGTGTTAAGTTTTTGCCATTGTTTCCGACCTAGTTGTTCGGCACGCAGGTCTACCACACCTTCGAGAGAAATACGCATCCCTACCACTATCTCCGAAAATTTCTTCTCAAGCTTATGGAAGCCATGTTCCATGGCCGACATGTGCTGTGGAAACAGCATGTTTTCTGCCACCCATTTTTCTAACAGTTATTTTGGGGTTGTTCAGCTTACACTGTTGACAAAGCTTTTAGCCACAGTGTCCTGTAATTGAACATTGCCCTTCCGTAAAAAAATATTTAATCCTGACACCTTCACATCTCATTCTCTTCTTTCATGCCTTTCCCTCGTCCTTATCGCACTCTGCTCACACTGACCTCCACATCATCATCCATCATTCCTGTCTTTTGAAGGAGTCGTTTATGTGTGCCATGCTCATATTGATGGAACATTCCTTTTGATGGGCTTTCATAACTTTCAAGAAACCAGAGTGGAGCGAGGTTGAGGTCGAATTATTGAACAGTGCACAAGGTCAGCTTCCATGTCTCCTGAATGCTGGTATTCCAATACCCATATTGATATCTCTTACCTCCTGATGAGTTGCCAAAAGCCATCACTGCATTTCATGCTGCTCCTCAATTATAAATGCTTGAGCTGCTGGGCTTGACCCAAGGTCAGGACTTTAACCTGAAACTGTCATGGGACCAGTTGACCCATTTTACTTGGTTGTCGTACCTGCCTATGCCATCCGCCATTCTCAAGGACAGTCTACACGTTCTTGGAAGAATGGGTGGCTTGATGAACTTTAAAGTTGCCTCCAATCAATCTGCCTCACCTCTCAGTACCTCTTTGTCATGTATTTGGCATTCCATGTTAAACTCACTTTCTGTAGTGGACACTACAGTCATGCCCCTTCTGACACTTCCCAGCTTGGAAAGCCTCGAATTGATGTTGGACTATGGACAATGTCATTCCTTCCTGTCGTGATATTTTCTGGAACTCATCCAAAGGTCAGAATGCATGTTAAAACACCTCAGTTTGGGGAAGTGCATCAATCTCGATGATGGTAAAGTTGACCAACTGCTGGCTTTGTGCCTGTTACTCGAAACATTCCAGTGGAAGAGCAGCACTTGGTCAAGGACATCCCTTTCACACCTTGTCGGGAGATTGTCTGATGATGCTGGATCTTGGCCTTGTCTTCACTGCCTGTCCATAGAAAATAGTGCAACTTTTAGCATCGAGCACTGTTATGAGCTCATCCATGCAATATTGGCCTTAGCAGAGAATGGGGATCATCTGTTATGCATTGTAGAGTGCCAACTCGGATTGTTTCTTGTTGAACCCCATGCCTAGCAAAGTCAGATCTGTCAGTTGGTGAAAGATGACATCCGCCATGTGATGGCATTAGGCATCTCAGTCTTGGTGTTGATTGACGACAATAATGGCATCCATGAGTTGAAGTGCTT